AATTTCTTTAACACCAAGAGGCTGCGGGGGTTGCAACCTAGATAGATAGTGGTTTCTGAACCTCGCCGCAAACTTGGCTATCTCAACTCAAACCCCATGTTAAAGGTGGGATAGTGCCTTTAACGCAGAGAAGTTAATTTAAAAGACAACGTCAGTTTTTTACTACCTAAGGGCTAAGTAATGTTCTGTTTATTGAGAACAGTGTGAATGTGGTATTTGTATTTTAAATTTGACGTATTTTATGTGGATTTTTTTCATACGAAATTAATGGCTATTGAATCGATGCAGAAAAAAACTCAGCCCGTAAGTACTTCTGGTGAATAAATACTTTATGAAACGATGTTTCAGTCTGTACCGCTAATCAGAAGGGCCAGTCTGGACTTCTGACTCGCTATTTCAGTTTACAACTTTGATCAGACAGCTCAGTACAGCTATACCGCTGAGCACACCAGTCATATCCCCATCGCTGACTGTAGACATCCCCATGTACCGCTGAGCAGTCAGATCTATCTCCGTCGCTGACTGCGCCGGCCCCAGGAGCGGCTCTGATCGTGTCGATGCGGCACGGCGCCGCGGCGGCCGCGGGCGGCCCGCGGCGACGGTTCGACCGCCGGCGTCACCGCGCGCACCGCTCCGTCCTCACGTCAGCCGACGAGGGCCCTCAGCCGACCGCTCAGCGACCGTCTTTGATGCTGACTTCACAGATTTGGCTCCGGAATTGTGGTCGAGAGTCACGTCTTTAAATAAAATGTAAATTGGGAGACATGGACGCTTTGTCACGGGAGTCGCAGCTTGGATGAAGATCATTTAAACCTTTCATTTAAATATTCCGCCAAGAATAGTTGAAATTTGTTATCCTCCTGGTAACATTCATCGGTGCTCCGACGTCTGACGCAACTAGACATAAAAATTGCAGCCGTCCAACTACGAGGCTAACGAAATTGTTAAATAGATAATACAACCTAAACCGTACGTATGTCTGTAAAAATAGGTAGGTACGTTAAAAACAACATGGGCTGAATATAAATTCGAAAAGTCAGTGCGTTACTTTGAACGCACTTCAAGCCAAACTTCTTTGGCGAAAGAGGACGACATGCGGGCCATGTCTTCATGGATATCGACAAAATGTAAGCAATTATTCCAGCATATGGTTTGGCAACGATTGCATACGCTACGCACATTGCATATGATCGTTCTTGGTATAAAACTGAGATGCGGACAAAATAAAAGCTTTAATGAGACTGGTCTCTTAGGGGAGAGTGGGGTGGGTTGTATCAGTTTTTACTCCGAGACCCATAACCTCGTAACTATCCGTGATAAACTCATTATTTCCATACCATCCCCATCCTTGATTCTTCTGCTTTTTTGTGCAAAGTAACTTTTCCGCTACCTCTACCAGTTTTTCTTCTACGGTCTCCCGAATAGGACAATGTTTTTGATACAACTTGCCCCATGGCTTGGGTGAGTTGTATCACATGGTGGGGTAATTTGTATCACTATTTCACGTTTCAGGGAGTGTGCTTGCTACTGGTTTTGAACATAACAACAACATTAAATGGGGTTAATACAATGCATAGGTATGCTCAAAGGCTTCACTTTATTAGACCAAACTTAGGTCAATGCAATTCGAACGAAACATCAACAGACTAGACGCAAAAGTGGCCCGTTAAGAGCAAAGAAGCCAACACATTGTGCCGAAATGGAACGAGCATTGACTAGCTACCTACAAACGCGAGCCAGGGCTTAGCTTTCGCGATCAAAAGCAACATACCCATACATACATACACACATACATGTTACAACATACCCCACCCGGCTCTGATACAACATGTACCTAGCCGCCATCTTGGAAAAAACATCCTCGTGCTAAAAAACAGCGGACAGCTGGAGAAATCCGTTTTCACTCACGCAGCCTTAGAACCTACCCTCACCACCGCTACGGAGATCTTTCAAATTCGTGCACATCTAAATGCCCAGAACACACATTTTCTTGCAACTTATTTTTTTAGAATGACATTAAAAAAACATAAAATCGGCTCTCACCTCGAGACGCGTCCACTCAGCCACAAGACAGAACAGGGAAAGATGGCGCCCGGAAAACCTCGTCGGCTGGTCGTGTCGCGAGCGCCATCCATTGGATAAGTTTGGCACAATTCGCCCTGATACAACTTGGACATGATACAACTCTCCCCGCTCTCCCCTATAGATGTCGCATCGGTACGCTGTTTGTGGTAGCCAGAAAACAGTGGGGGATGAGATAGGGAGGTATTCAACAGTGAGTTATGAAGCAACTAAAGCCATCGGAAAACTTGGATGTGTTCAGCTCAGCAATGCGACTCGAATGGCGCGCGGAATCGTTTCTGGTCATCTCACGACCTTAACCCGCGCCCCGTTGGGCTCTGCCGAGCAACGCGCCCCGTTGGGGGGGGGGGGCATTTTAGCCCCCCCCTAAGATCTCGAGAACCACGCAACGTAGCGACAAGCGGAAACGGTGTTGGATAACCCTATCAGGGAACTACCTTGTGACCCAATTTTATTGACCTAGGTCAAACCGATGACGTCACAGGTCAGGTCAAAGGTCCAATTTTCACCGTTTACAGGCATTTCAAGAAATGCGTTGTAAAATCGAGTAAAATGCATTTCATTGAAAATCATCGATGGTGCAATGTTCTTCAAACACATATTTTGCTAGTTGAGGTCACTGATACCAGGTCAGGTCACTGAGGTCAGGTCACTGGGGGGTCACAATGTGAAAGTGTCGTGTGATACATGTTTTATGGTCCATTTTACATGACAAATGCGATTATGTGGGTCAGGCAGCCTTTGGGACCAGCTTAGGTCACGTTTTGGTCAAGGTCAGGTCAAGGTCAGGTCAAGGTCAGGTCAAATAAGGTCAAATTTCAAAGTTGATATTTTTGCATAAAATGGGTATCGAATCGATGCAGCTCGTCACGGGGAGTTCAATGGTGGTCTTTGTTTTGCCGTACGAGGTCTAGAATCGCTAAAAAATTGAGTTCAAAAATTTGACGTTATCATTTTTGAACAGTTTTTTCGCTATAACTTGGCCAAAAAACGAGATATCGATCTGAAATTCGGTATGTATATAGAAGAGCGCAGGGACTATCACATATATTCCGGTGTTTTCGAAATTCGGAAAAATTTTGGATTTTTTTTTTTTAGTTTTTTCTAAAAAAATCAATTTTTTGAAATTTTTTGGGTCAAAAACCCAAAATTTTGAAAATCCGAGATAGCAGTTTTGTAGCGCCGCTTTTTGTCTATTAGACCATATAAAGAACTTTGAAATTGCTTGATAACTGTAGATTTGGTGAGCGTTTCAAGATTGCATGTTTTTTGCTCATTTTTGCTCGAACATGACCTCAGTTTGACCTCAATAACTCCTGACCTAAGGTGACCTAAGACTTGAAATTTGGTGTGAAGGTGTCAAATTGATGCCCGAAAAGGTACTGAAAATTTGGCGGCGCTGCGCGCCGCCGTTTTCTTGCTATTCAGGAAAAACCACAGGGGGGGGGGGGCCAAAATGGCCCCCCCCAACGGGGCGAGGGTTAACCTTAGGGAAAAAGCTTAAGCTGACCCGTAAGGTCAAAATCGGTCCATTCAAGGCATCTCGGTGAGAAAACCACGCTGGTGGTAAAATCAATATCGTGCAAACATGTTTGTTAGGTATGCAAAACAATTCGCAGTAATTAGTTGTTACGCAGTATTAATTGCCATTACTACTGTAAAACATGTTTTACAAAAGGACGGTTTTAACGGTTTTTGCTCTCAGAAGGCTGCGCCGCTCAAGATTATCTTATGAAGTGTTGACTTTAGGTCAAGTTCGAAGACAAGAGGCGGAAAGGCTTCAAAAGAGCTGTCGAGTCCTTTTGTATGATATTCCAGTTGTCGACGTCGTGTACAAGCCATGAGACGAATCGCCAAGGAACTTGAAAATCGGAAAAATTTGCCTTAAGTGATCTCGGGTGACCTATTCTTTGAATTGATCTTAAAGTCAGACATGTGCATGGATCCGAGTGATGGACCTATGATCTCAGTGGATCTCGAAGCAAAGTACAGGTTGGGAACTATGATCCCACCGGATCCGGCGTGAAAAATGCATTTTTGATCCATGATCTCATATGATCTGACGATAGATTAAGAGCATGGATCTATGATCTGAGTGGATCCCACCATGCACCACATTTGAAACCATGTTTTATAAGGTTTCTATGCCAATAAGTGCCACAAAACTATGGATTATGACGTGCTATCAGTATCTCACCGAGATGCCTTGAATGGACCGATTTTGACCTTACGGGTCAGCTTAAGCTTTTTCCCTAAGGTTAAGGTCGTGAGATGACCAGAAATCAGTATCACATAAAATCACTAAAACAGTATGTTTGTGAGTTGAAACAAGTTTTTTCTTGGTGTATGTGTTGACAAAAATTAAGTGTGGATCTATGATCTCACTGGATCTCAAGCAAAAAATGAGACTCGGATCTGTGATCCCTACGGATCTCTCGATAAAGTCCAGAGCTGGATCTATGATCCAGTCGGATCCGAGATCAGGATCCGTGGGACCAGATCCCAGATCCATGTTCTCGGATCCATGCACATGTCTGCTTAAAGTGATTGAAATACTTTTACATTATTTTTGACGCTCTTTCTAACACCAGTTATGATTTACGTCATGTCGTTAGTGGTCCAGGAGCTTACCAAACGTCCCTAATATGCCGCTTTTATGTGCCACGATCGAGCCACATACAGGCTACAGCCCTGGTGAAGTTTACAAGTCCGCTGCGTCAAGGAACTTATGGCTAACGCGTTACGTTACGGACTCTGCACCTAACTATTCATAACCCTTGCCAGCTTATTTTCTAGTGCGCTCAGCTCATGGGCACACTTTGCAGAGCATGTGCAAAATTATATTTTTACATTTGGATATTCCTAGATACGTTTCCCAGTCTTCCCAACAAAAGCAACCGGCAGACAAAAACGGCGTCTCTCGTTCTACAATATATTTCAACTTTTGACGATGATTCGTTGTAAAGGAAATGGTGTTTGTTGATGGGTTCACTCTCTCTCGGCCATTTCTGCGCGGTCGCAGCCGCGGTTTGAAAGTTTGGCCGGTACGTCGGTGTAGCTCTCTTTCAATGAGACTTTGTTGCAGTTATTGATGTCGTCTGCTCTGATCCGGACTTGGTGATGTGGAGGGCACAGCGGTAGCGGTCGCCTCCCTGGGAGGTGGACGCTCCGCGTGCCCGTGAACGTGATGGCAGTTTAGATCTTGACACAGTGGGCACCCTCGGGTCCAGACTCGTCACACTTGGAGCCATCCGGACAGTACTTGCCCTCACAGCTGCGGGAAGCTGTAACGAAAGGAAGGGCGATGGTCAGCCAAAGCGCAATGAGGTGTGGTGGGTTGTGCGAAAACATTGAAATGGCATGATAGTTCTGAAAGGTGACGGTTTATTGGTTGCAATAGACTAAATTGTAACTAAGGAGCAGAGAGAAGATCCGAGATCTGAGGAAATAAATCCCTCAAGGAAAAAAGGAAAAACTCGATTTAACTCAGCACTGAATAGCATACGTTTTGAGGCAAATCAGTTGACGAATGTTATCAGACGTCCTTGCAGTATATCTCTAGCCATGTAATGTGCTACCCTCCGTAAATACTTCGCCCTCCCCGGTACTCACGAGTTCCACGCCGGCAGAGGGCGCCGCTCGGGGTGTCGATACAGCTCAGGCCACGGCGGCACTCGCGGACCTCACAGGTGTTGGGCAGGCACGTGGGCGAGCCGTTACGGATGTAACAGTTGGTACCGCGCCGGCAGAAGAAGCCCTCGCAGGAAGGCACATCTGAGGGAACGAGGGCGTATTGGTCAGCACGACATTATGGCACACCCGACACCGTTTCTTTTCGATTTCTTCCTTGTATTGTAATCGGATACCGAGACTTTGTCCGTTATACTTTTCCCCTGAGACTGAAATGCGTAACTTTTTAACGAATGCATCACCCTGACTGAATAAGCTGCACTGTATGGTGATACCTGACTCGGTGAAGTTCTCAGAGGTTTATGTGTCAGCCACTAGGCCTGCTGTCTGACTTTGGAGCCACGTACCGGGCACGCAGTCGGGACCGTCGGGAAGATCGTTGCAGATCTCTCCGGCCGAGCACTTGATGTCAGCGCACGTCTTGCGGTCTGTGGATCAAACGCGCTACGATCAGCAACAAGACAGACGGGTACGTTTTGACATATCAACCTGTCCCTCACATATCAGCATCACATTACATACCCCTTATGGCGCAGATGCATTGCATTGCATCATGGTGCATGATGACATACAGAACCTAAACGATGTAATGTGTAGCTTGCAAATAAAGTTGCATTTGTAACGAGTACCAGTAAGCGAAACGAGGAGATGAAGATCAGACAACCCAAGAAATCCCGGAAATGATTACGACAGGATTTCAGTCCCTCTGACATTGCGAGACATATTTGGGATCGAAGGATCCGAGGGACATCTGGAACTGCGGGTTTCGCCGTGAAACACTTACCAGGCACGCAGACAGGGCCGGTGGGCCTGTCCTCGCACTTCTCATTGGCCCTGCACGGGCGACGCTTGTTGGCGCACGTCTCAGGAACTGCGGCGAGAGAGCAACAGTCAGCGGAAGGCGTAGAAAACAGCGTCGGGAGTGGGATCTCACAGGCTATCAGACCTGTCGTTCGCAGCACGACCCGACCGAACGCGGTCGGCGGCTGATGCCGGAAAGTATGACTATCATGCAATGCATATCGTACAAAATCATACAGTGTTAGGGAAACAAATTTACAAAGCTGCGGCCATCGCCGGTCAGCTATTTCACACGCGGTGCTGCCATGACCGGAGTCCAGCGAGTCTGGATGCCCTGGAGCAGCGACCTCCGCCTGGACCTAGACCTTAGAGGGGGTGAGGAGGGTGGTCCAACTTACTGCGCACGCAGGTGGGGCCCGAGCTGCGGTCCTCGCACTTGTATCCGGTACGGCACGGGGTCCTCTTGGTGGCACAGGTCTCCGGGACTGCAGAGGGGGAGGGGCGGAGGGGCGCGACGCGTTAGAGCGGCAGGCCGCCATGCACAGTCGCCCAGCTGACCTCACTGGTCAAGCTGGTGCATGGGGTGCATGGGGTGCAGACTGACCTGGTATAGGCGGCGGCGCGCACTGTCCGCTTGTCCAGGGGTGTATTTGGACTAGTTAGTTGTTACATGCAAATAGACGGTACGATTATAATACTTCTTCAGCAGGCAATTCTGATAAATCTAAAACAAATAATGAGTCATATGAAGGCTAAAGAAGTAAGGGTCGCTCTTTAAACTTTTTGTGCGAGTACCTATTCAGCAACGAGTTTTATTTTCCTTCTACGTGTATCCTTTATAAATACGATCAACGAACTATTGTTTCTGCTGAAGAGATGATCATCGTACCGGCTATTGATGCAATAATTACATTGTGTAAATATCACACTGGTAAGGTATCATAAACATATAGGACAATGATATACATCGAAAGTGAGCTTATTTTAGCGGACGAGTATGTCTTACATAACCAGCTACAGTGCAGTATTTTCAGTATTGTAGAAAGTGTGATTTATTTTAAAGCAACTAGCAAGTTTCGTATAAAAAAGTGGAGGGAATTATGTTAGGAAAATGGAGTGGGATATGGTAACGAAAGGAGGGTAGACAAGGGAAGATACAACTGGGCAAGGGAAAGGGAATGTAAGATGAGAGGTGTACAGAGGAATGGAAGGGTAAATCGGTGATCGTGCCCGTGTGGCTGCAGTTTTATGGCGGCACGCACGGCGGGCCTCGCGGTGCGGCGGTTAGGACACTGCGCGTGACCATCAGTTACCAGTGAGAGGTACAGGTAACCAGAGAGTTAGGAGGGAGAGGCAGAGAGGCTGCCAGCCATGGACCGCAGCAAAGTGGCAAAACACGCCGGCTGCAATCGCTGGTGGCTGAACTGCAGGCTACATTGTACTGCTGCTTACACTGCAGATGGTTGTCACGGACCAAAGAAGAGTGAAATGGGGAGGAAAACAAGCGGAAACGGACGGGGAAGTTGGAATCGATGAAATATCATCAGAGGAAACAATGAAGAGCATTGGAGGATTCCTGCATCGGGCGTCGTATAATTACGAGTCCCTTGCTGTTTGGTCGGGATTCCACTGTAATTCAGGAAAATGCACGATCGTTGTAGCTTTTCTCATGCTTCGTATACCATAAACAAGTGTGCTCGAGAGCTTTTTTGACATCGTTCCTTATAAGAAAATTATGTACACTGTGCATCCGTACTATTTACATATGTACACTTGTTCTTGACAACAACACACCAGCTAGCTAGAAAAGTTTACCTGTCGGAGTCGTTGGATGATTAGTTCGCGGCGATATTTATGGGAGGTGTTACAGGGGTGTTTCGGGAGCGTTTTTACCCGGGACGCAGACAGGGCCAGAGGAGCGATCCTCGCAGACGGTTCCCGTGCGGCAGGGCACCCTCTTGTTGGCACACGTCTCCTTTTCCTTGGTGCCGACTGGAATCATATTCACAGGGTTTGTGGCTATCACCATCGACAGCTTGAGATGGAAATCCACCGTCAGGGAGCCGAGGATGATATTTACACTTTCAAACCCGACTCATCAACCACTGTACAATAAAACAACTATTTACACACTAGCGCGGTAAATACGAGTGTATCTAATTCAGCCATGATTTCGGTATAATCACAGTAAGTGATTCTATGTACAACCCCTTGATGTACTTGAAAAAAACTATTAGAAAACTATCAGAAGAAAAGAAAGAGAAAAGAAAACCAGGCAGGTAAGAAAAGTAAATGGTAGAGTAAAAGCGTAGAAGTGGATTGCATGCAAGTAAAAGAACAGAGAAGTAGTGCAGAATAAAGGATCGAATAATACAGAGAATAGAAGACGTGGAGCGTAATATGCACAAAATGAACCGAAAATATTGAACGAATGATAATAAAACAAATATGTACATTGAATCATATATACTACATTTGCGAGCCGTAAGCATACTTATAAGTTATAACACATGTTTATGTACATTTTACGCGGCAGGTGCATGTATTTACATATTTGTGTGTCAGTGTATCTGGTCTGTAAATGTAACAAATGTATGCATGTATGTACGAATGCATAATGCATGCATGTTTGTATGAATGTATGCACGAATATGTGCGTGCATGCATGTCTGTGCGTTTGTATGTTTGTATGGAGTTGTTGATGGCCCATGGAGAGACGCTGGCTCTGAGGTCTTACTTGGCACGCAGACGGGACCCGTGCTGCGGTCCTCGCAGCGCTCGTTGGACCTGCACGGCACCTTCTTGTTGGCGCATGTCTCCTTCTCGCGTTTCACTGCAACCACCCGATGAACATTGAGACACGTGCGCACGTGCATAAATCGACCTCTGGGCGGGGCATGTACAGCCACCGCGCGCAAAGCGGCAAATGTAATTGTGCAATTACATACAATTTACATACATACAAAACAGCCCCAGTGGCTTGGAACTGTACAGAGGCTCAAGGCAAATATCCAATATATTGGCAGCATGATACATATGGTGGCCTTATATAAATACAAGATATGAAACAGTGGATGAGTTATGTACAAACAACACACGTAGGTATCAGCCATAAATAAATATAGATTCCTATGTTTGGATAAAGGACTGGCTGGTCCCAGGAAATATCATCGGGCATCACTGCCGAGCCGAATGTGATTCAACTGTTATCGACAGCTCTCTAGTCCGTCCGCCCACGGAATCCATGTCGCCCACAGTAGGATATGGGTTGCAGAAGCTGTATCAGCCGGCCGTGATTGAGCCGGCCGCTGATTTTTTATGCAGGCGGCGGCGACATCGCCCAAAGACGTGCATCTCGACAAGATCGCACTGTTACGGAAGGCCGCGCCGTCGCGACCTCCCAGCCAGCGAGAGGCAGAGCTGGTTTTTTAGATCCCGCGGCGAGGTATTTTACGACGTCGCCAAATGGCCCAAGGCCGCTGGCGCGCCTCCAGGAGCTCGCGGGAGGGGGAGGGGGGGGGGGCTCTGCCACCGCACCGAGTCGGCTGATCCTCCACCAAGGTCGACCCCCGGCGGCGGCAGAAGACACTGGCCACCGCCGATAGACCCCCATGTGGCAGCGGGGCCGGCCGAGGCCGACGGCAGGCTCAGCCCCTCAGACTCCAGCGGGATCTCCGCGAAATCCGGGGACGAGGTAAGCCGGCGGAGCGGTCACGGGCGCTCCGGAGATGGTCACCTGCTCTGGATCCGGTTACGGAGACGGTGATCGTCGACCGTGCAAAGTGTTAATCTAAACGGTACTTATACTCTGAGGCTCCGCTTATGCGTAATGCGTACTGACAGGGATAGAGTGAAAGGAGGGTAAAACTGGTTGGCCATCCGTATAGACAAGGCTGAGTCTGTACAACACGACTGTGTGGATGAGATCAATCCGGATTATGAGTGGCAGACTGTCCCCACCTGCCGTGTGTTATAGATCTGTACACAGGGATCGTGCGCCGGTGTCGGTCGATACTCACGGGGTTCGCAGATGGGGCCGCTGGCAGTGTCACGGCAAATCTCCAGGCCAACCTTGCACGGGATCCTCTTGTTAGCGCACGTCTCCTCTGTGAACAGACAGATGGACGGATTGAGGGAGCCGCGTGGAGACGCCGCCCGCTCACGGCCAGGCCGAGAGGGGAAGCCATCCGACACGCCGTCGACAGCCGCCTTCCTGGATTGTTTTTATGCGACATGCATGTTGCCGTAAAAAGTTGACCGTGCCAGCCGGCGTATAATTGACGAGAGGCCTTTGTGCCCGCTGGCCCCAGCTATGCACGTCGACCCCCGCGGCATTTGTTGGCTGGGATGTTTTTAGTTCTTGAATTGCTTGGAATTTGAACGGCAGACGACGCCGATCAGACTTTTTTTAAGATAAGCGCATCATTGCATGAGTTAAGCTTGGAATGATGGGAAATTATAATCAAAATGCTAAATTACTTTGCCTGAAACATTGCGAGATAAACCAATATTTAGACCAGGGTGGGTGGCCTGTCGCGAGGCTTCGCTCCGCTTCTGGCGACTGCAACGCAGAGTAACAGCGTATCCAGCCCAACTTCCCCGCTCCGAGCTGGTCACTTACTGGGGTAGCAGACGGGGCCCTGGGGCTCATCCTTGCAGTACTCGTTGACCTTGCATTTCTTGGTCGAGCAGTTCTCCACTGGAACGAAAGGAACTAATCAGATTCCGTCGCCCCTCCGGTTCTATCGCATTTGTCTCGGTCCCTTTAGCACTTCCGTCAGGAAATGCCAGGATAACCCCAGATAACCCAATCTAGCCCCTGTTCACAGTCTTGGTGAGCGGGAGGTGGGATAGCAAATGGATTGCGGTATCCGTCAGATGTTCTTTCATGCGGTTCCGACGTGCACGACTGTTTAACTTCCAATGAATGAAAGCTATCTGGTCACAGTAGGTCAGTGTCGTCACGTCAGCATGTAACAAGGTTCGTGCGTTTTGAGCCCGCAGACACGCTGTTTTTGTAGTTGAGATCGTGGGAAACATGCAAATGAACCATCTAGGGCATCAAACACGTGCGGTTCCAGATAAGTGTGACCGTTTTCATTGAACGCGTGGTGCCATGAAAGAAAACACGGCTCTCTAGAATTAAATAATCAATTGCTTAATTTCACTGAGAACTCGCAGCTGTCATCAGAATCTCTAGCTGTCTTCCTTAAGTCGAATAAACATTTCTCAGCGCGATGACTTGACACCATAAATTCTGGCGTTGATTCTTCATAAATGTGCAAAAGAATTTGCACAGAAGCATTTGAAACGGAAACATGAAGCATAGACGCATGATGTGCGTAAATGTTTAAAAACTTCGAGTGAACTATTTATGCGAAACTCAAATGGGAAGTGATTTTTAAATTTATCTTAAATGAGACCGATACAGTCAGAGTCACGGCACGTTCCAAGCCCACCGGATGTGATAACTTGGTAAAAGACGTTTACTTACGGGGGACGCAGACCTGCTGGATCTCGCAGCGGCTGTTCGACGGGCATTGCTTGGTGCACACTGAAACATGGACATGGATGTCAAAAGGGGGTCTAACTGGTCGTAGGGTGTTCTTGTCGGATAATTAGATGACTTCTGAGGAAGCTCCAAATCTTCAAAGAACTCTGAAAAGTGGCTGGTCTATAAGTTTTTTTTAAGGTTTATCCTTTTTAGCGTAATGTGACAAAATTATTGCTTTAGATCGTATATTTTCTGACATAATTTAGCCAATTAAAAAGAGGGAGCTCCAAATTGATGTGACATTCCATTCGTCATATCATACTTCTTTGCAAACGCAAAAATTTGGCTCATCGTTAGTTCTCGTGTATATATTTTAAATTTGCTTACGTAGTAAAATTTAGGGCTATGAGCTGACAAATTTTAGCCGTTTTCAAAGCCATCACTTCTTTTTATCATTTTGCTTTTTTATCTAAAATCCATCTGTGCACTTCGTTCAATGCATATAAAAGGCAACTCTAAAGACCGGGCATTCATTCGGTTTAAAATGAAGGTGTAAGTTATTGATACTATTGACATTTCTCTATTACACTTTACAATCATATTAGAAATTCATATTATTGAATGTTTTCGTAACTTAGATGGTTCAGACGCCTTAACGAGCAGGACTTATGAGACTGACGGTTAAAAGAGTGGTGGTTGTTAGCTTAGTTGTTGGTGGGCGAAGGAAAACGAAAGTGTTCATATCGAAAGTATCATTGAGACAATGATATAGTCTGAGTGTGTGTTCCAATGGCGGAATTTCGGTTTTCTGTTCTGATATTGGGGTTACAGCTATACTTATTTCTCTGAAAAGAAACTACTGTCCATCCAAAAAGGCGTTTACGACGAGTGTTTGATTAACTCCGAGAGTTATTTTGATTGTCTTTGCATTTCGCTGAGAAGTTCTGGTGATTTTGTATACCACACGTAAACCTTGGACGAATGCTTACTGCTGAATGAATATGTTTCAGAACTCGGGTAATGCATTCTTCAGAGATCGCTGATTACTTTTAAGACAAAGAGATCGCTGATGTTTTTCTGCACCCTTGTAGTTCCGGCGTTATCATATACAACTCAGAGGGCTCCACGGAGAATGCATATCACTCTGTAAGCACCGCCGAGTGTTGGTCCCACTCAGAGTATCTGTCCCACTCGCAGAGTGTGCGTGTGTCACTCACCCGGCTCTGTGGGCGGCGGCGGCAGGTAGGAGCAGGGCGGCCTGTAGTCGTACCTCTGCTGGCCGCTCACACAGACGGCCGCCGCCGCTAGCAGGATCAACAGACGCATCGTGCACTGGAACAGAGTGCGGAGAACACTGTCAGCGACAGGGCGCAGCCGACCCGAGCGGACGCAGGTGCACACAGAAATGTCTTAGAGAGTGGCGGGCCGCCGCTGGCCTGGCCGCCGCTAGCACTGACCGGAGAGGTTCCGACGTCCCACCGAGAGAGCAAAGAGGTTCCGCCACTGAGCAGTGGCCGCCGCTTATATAGGGGGCGGCGGCGGCCGTGATACGCCGAGAGGCGGAGGCGGGGGCGGGGGCGGGGGCGGCCAGGATCACTGCAGGACCGGTCCCGCTGCAGCAGCAGCTGCTGACTGGCCGTGTCAGCTGACCGGCCGACCTCGGGTCAGAGATGAGGTCAACTGATAGACGGTCCTAGGTCAGAGCGGAGGTCACCTGACTGGGTCACAGCTGAGGTCACCTGATAGACTGTCCTAGGTCAGAGCCGAGGTCACCTGACTGACCTCAGTGTTGAGGTCACCGGACCGGCCGACCTCGGGTCAGAGATGAGGTCACCTGATAGACTGTCCTAGGTCAGAGCGGAGGTCATCTGACTGGGTCACAGCTGAGGTCACCTGACCGACCTCAGTGCTGAAGTCAGCTGACCGGTCAACTTCGGGTCAGAGCTGGGGTCGTCTGACCAGCCGCGACCTGTGTCAGAGCTAACTGACTAACCTTACTGACCTACCCGGGTCAGAAATAAGTTTCCCTGACCGACTGACTTTGGGTCAGTCATGAGGTCACCTGACTGGTTGACTTAGGTCAGAACTGGGGTTGCGTGACCTGGCTCAGATGTGAGGTCACCTGACCGCCCGATCCGGGTCAGTGCTGGCGGTACCAAGCTGTCCTCTTGATCTGGAATCATCGATGCGAGATTTGTGCCTGGAAAAAAAATCCGCGAAGGAGATCATCGGACGGGGGTCATTGCAAGTCAACTCCTTTTGATCCAACTTGTAAGTGGATTTTCATTAACATTTCGTTTTGTGTCATATTTTTATCATTCTCTAGGTCAAATAGCTAGGTGTGGTGCCTAGCTTGTTTATGCTTCTTGGAAACATGTTACCCAAGGCCTGCTCAAGTGTGAAAATGTCCTTTTAGCGCCTACCTGGCAAGCTATCTGTTACGGAATGTAGGAGGAAGTGGGCTCCTCTATTTCCAACAAAAGTCGCGGCCGTGACCTCCGACTAGATGTGGTGTCGTGGTCAAACACTGGAGGGAGATCAGTAAAAGTGATTTACACTATCCGTACAATCCAGTGAAGTGCGGATTTCCGTCTCCTGGCACATGGAACATGATCTGGATACATGATCTGTTCACGCCAGACCTATCGGTTTTCTATGTGCAGCGGAGAGAAGACGGGTAGAACTCCTGACATTTTGCCGTTGCTTGAGCTGGAGCTTCGTAAAAAATGAGGTCTGGGCCCGGGTTCTTAATTTTCTTGAGATTCAGTTACTTTATTGTAATCTGGAGGGCCAACTATAAGGACCTGCGGTTTTGAAATCGATACCTTCGGCTTCGTCTCGTCACGAGCAGCAAAGGGCCACCCTAACGCTTCTTACGATGCCGACGCTTGATTTTCAAACTTGGAAAGATTCAACTGCGTTTCATTTCCAAAGGGGTTCACATATGGGAGATATCAGCAAAACTTTAAACCTATGCATTTTGGCCACTTTGTCCCATACCCTGCGGCAAAGCGGCCACCGGCGACTTCTAAAGTCCCGATATGAGAAACAGAATAGTTGCCTCACGTTTGTTCGACTAGGGTATTTGATGGTGGCAAGGTTTAAGCGAGGACAGATGTTTAGTTTGTCATCTTCCCGCCTGTAGGTGAACGAAGAAAGGGCATTCATGGAAAAAACATTTAATTGCATTATTTGGGTAGCTTATGTAACCGAAAAGTGGCCGAGATTAATACATGACAGCACATTTCAATAGCAATAACGGCTGTTGTCCAGATGAAAGCAATTTATGGCCAATTCTTATAGCTGGCTACTTTGCCCCGTCTATTTTTCCCCGAGCATACCGTGCGAGACAAAAAAAAAACAGCTCAGCTATTAGTGGGCAAAAGCATTAAAACTGGTAAAAGACATGTACTTACTATAACCACATTTGATATTAGACGAAATCGCTTGAATAAAATTCGAAACGGTAGTGGAATAAAACAAAATTTCAAACCGTAAAAACAGCTAGTAACCTGGAAAGAAATGTTTATCCGTGTATCACAGAACAATTGCAATGGGCTAGAAACCCGGTGTGGCTCATTCGAACGACCGTGAAAAGAAGTATAATTGGCAACCATAAATTGGAGCCGACGCCAGCTGTGGAGGGCTAAAACGACGGGTGGCCGCTTTGCCCCACTCTCCCCTACTCATCTTTTTCTCCGAGAAACTCTTTAGCTCGGAGGACAAACGCTGTGATCCGACGGAACCTTTTCCTCTAGCTATATGCTTGTTGCTATTCAAATAAACCCACTTTTGATCATCCATGTAAGAATCACGCATAAAACACTTGGCTAACAAAAGGTACATACATAGCATATGAATATAGCTTGTTTGCTTCAATGCCTTTGAGATACGATTTCAAACAAAAATTAACGTTTTCTACGGGCGTAAGAGCTATAAACTCACGACTAAGAACTTTATAGTACCTACACATGCATATGGGATTATCATCGGCAATTGTAGGCTATGCATAGCCGAGCCGCAAAGGTCATCGCTTAATGTATCAAACGCTTCTAGAGGATTTTGGAGACGCGAAAAGCTCATTTTCAGTAGTTTAGTCGGTTAAGCTAAGTTTTATGGCATTAAAAATCGAACAGCCTCCGATGATAGCTCTTCAGATGTGCTGTACTGTTGTCACCTTGGGAACCACGGATTTCAGAAGGCCAGCTGCATTATGCACGTATGTAGGCTCAATGACAGAACTGTTCCTCGAGAGCGACTCACCTTGTGTGTATATAGCGTCTTTTTAAAACTGTTTGTCACATCTTTTGGCAAAGACATCTTTACTCAGTCCTCAGTCAATCATGGGCATGTGAAACATTTCTTATTTTCTTATTTATTTCTTGTGCCCATTCTCACATTTATGCCCTTACCCCGCTGAATGAGCACAACATTGTTTTCGTTCCATTGACAAGGGTCCTTCGCTAACAATCCAACCTGTAACAGCCAGGATGCACAATAGCCGTTTTCACGACGGCTATCTGCAGTACACATTTGGTTCACAGTTGGTGCAACTTTGGTGCCCGTGCATTTTTTTGTTCAAATTAGGTTCATTGTGTTTCTTGGTAGTTATCAGCTTGGGTTGCACAGTTGCTTATAGGTACGCCTGATTTGCAAATAATCACATCTTATCTTTTATTTAAAAAAAAACTGAAATAATTTCATGATATGAACAGATTTGCTGTAAAAAAAGATTTGCTGCAAAATTGGTCAAGTTAGGTGCATTCGCCAGATAACCCGTCGTGAAAACGGATATTAGTTAGGTATGCATATCAACATTGTCTATCAGAATAATAAGATTATTGTATTTTGCATATCGTACAGGCATATTTGCAAAGTCAATATGACAAATGTCGAGTCCTCGTCTCTGTTCCATTCGTCCGTGAGGCCCCGGATGGTTTACAAACGCCGTTTGCGGCCTTCTCATGTCTGCACTGCAGCGGTCCGTCGACAGTTGCGGTGACGCCAGTCCCACCAGCGTGACTCTGGCGGCACCACTCCAAAGCCGAAGCTATGGGCGACGGTGACGGGTGTAAAAGTCAGCGCTCGTGCTGTGAGACGCCGGTCTGCCATCGCGGTGACGTCTGTGGCTGCCGGACACCGGCCTTGGAAGGGAGGAGGCGCAGCCGGCAGACGCCGCGGGACCTCCAGGGAGGCATGGGGAACCAGTCGTATAGGGGGACGCAGGGAAGGGCTCTTTGAAGGAACCGGGGGAGGATGGACATTTTTATTGATGCCAGGGGACAGTTGATCGGTTCATGGATGGGAAGGCCTTTGGTGTTTGGGAGGCGCGAGGTCGCAGACCAAGAAATAGTTAAATGTCAGACCGACGAACCGAGACGCGAAGGTGGAAGGATTAGACGGATCCGTTCAATGTCACCATATTTACACTTATTATCACGAATTTGACTATCAGGAAGCAGTAACGAGCCTCTCTGCAGTCCTGACTCAATTTCATGCTGTTCTTCTTCAAGTCCAATACTTTTCTCTGATGCAGGTAATGTTGCGCAGGAACTTAGGTGAGCGGTTAGCTTCTCAGTTCTCATATAGCTACCACCTGACCATCAGGCGTCGACGGAGGATAGAGAAGGCTGCTGAGTGATGGGGCCCGCCTCAGTCCATCCGGACCTACATCGATCTAGACAGCGAGAGACCTTGTGTATTCAATCTGAGCTGTTATCGTAACCGTTTTGGAATACACTTTGGATGTATCTCATCCTAATCGCAGTGTTCAGCAAACAGGCGGATCGCTTTGTAGGAGGAAGCAGCGGCATCAGCTTCACGATGCAAGGAACGGCATGAATCGGCTGAGTTTGATAAACGTATTGTATGAGAGCTTTGGAAGGTGGTCTCGTGTTACTGAGCCAGATACAAAGAAAATAAACACAGTGGAACATATTACCCTAAACAAATAACTATTTCTTACAGCGATTAGCGTGCTGATTGTTCTGCTTTATGAATGTGGAGTTTGTTATGCCAGACGAAAGAACATAAATCAAGCAGAGTGGTAGGATTATATTGTTGAAATCAACTGCATAGTTGAGTTTATTTATTATATATTAACACTACAATATCCGAAACTGCCAGTGCAAGGGAGACTCCATTTCGATCCAGTCTATGTGTGGTAACCGCGACAGCGCACGGCCGACATGAAATCTGCCAACTCTCACCCATATGTCAGCCATCCTCCAAACCAGAGCGGTCGTCTTGGCAGTAAGTGTTGCATGGAACAAGGGCTTCACCGTGCTTGTCGCAATATGAGCCGTATTATTACGGACCGGGTGTCATGAGATGATGCTTATAGTTTAGCGTAACAACGCCGGGTTGCTGACGACACTTTTGCAGGCAACACATGCCACAGGGTTTATGTCGCACAGGTGATTAACAAAGTGCAGTTTGAATGCAAACCACCCATTTATCACATTTCGGCGTATGCATGCCTATATACAATACCAGTATAACGCCTTTTGGGGCGACTAACGGAGCGAGCGAGAGGGTGAG